AGTCGGGTATACTCGTACTCGACCCGACTCGGACGTACTCTACTTCGAAGTATAGAGAGGGTTTTAAAAATTGAATTGATTTTTTTGACATTCAAATGTATAGAGAGGGTCGTCTTTTTTATAGAGAGTGTCTTCGAAGTATAGAGAGGTGCTGCATCCCTCCTAATCAAATAAACAAACTAAAAATAAATGATGTATTCACGTGCATTCACAGGCACAAATATTTTGACCTTTTCCTATATTAAAAGGAATCCCGACCGTTATCAGAGTTTATCACAATTCCCGACCCTTATATTATTATTTGTTATTCACTTGTTTACCCCAATCTTGACCTGTTAATGTCCCCTATAAATACTCATCCAAAATGGTCATTCATCTTATCTTAATATCTAATTAGAAGTGTTTATGTGAGTTCTGGCCAGACTCTTGTAATTGTCCCCTTTCCCTCTTTTCGCTATGTATATATTTTTATTTGTAAATAGTTAAATGTAAATAAATAATTTAAAGAATATAATTTGAATAATCCTCGAAAGGCTTCGGAACCCAATCCCAACATTTGGTGCCACTTGTCCCGGGACAAGCCTTGTCGAGAGAAAATGCGCAAGAAATGAAAGCACATAAAAAAAAAACGGAATTCCAGTAAAGTCGAAATTAGAAATAATTAAATGTGCTAAAATAAAATAAAGTGATTAAGAAATCCTCAAAAATTGAGAGCTCGAGCTTAAACTCCTTAAATGGTCTAATTGTAAGAATTTTGCAAAAAAAAAATGGAATTTTTTTAAGAAATGAGAAAAATTTTCTCAAATTAAGAGTCTCTTCTGCAGCCTAAAAAATTAAAAGAATATTGAAATAAAAATTAGGAAAATGGAAGATAAAGTTGAATAAGTCAAAAACGAACGATAAAAGCCTAAAGAAAATAAAATTTAAAAATAAAGTTGAGCTAGAAGAATGACATGAAATCGCTTGATAAAAATTAAAAGAGATTGGTTAAAAATTATTAGTAAACCGTTTGTTTTAAATCAAAAATAAGAGAAACAATGTAGCGCCGCAGTATTTAAAAATACTCTTTGCTACCTCTGCATATCTCTTATCTAACGTAAATAAAAAGATATAATAATGAAGGCAGGTGAAGCTGGGTGCACACTCTGTCGGCTTAGTGCCAAGTACTTAATATAATGAAGAAAATCTGTACAGTAATGAAATGAATCAAGGCGGGTGCAGCTAGGTGCACACTCCGTCGGCTAGGTGCCCTGAAAAGGATATTAAGCGGGTAAAGCTGGGTGCATACGCCGCAGGCTTAAAGAGCCAAATACTCCTTGAGATAGTAGAAATATGTATCTCGAAATAAATTTTGTGAATATTGTATTGGTAATAGATTTAAAACAACTAAAACTAAAAAAAAAATATACTATTTGTGAAAATTTGTGTGAAAAAAAATTTTTTTTCAAGCGCAGAAATTTTATTAAAAGAAATGATCAGAATGAATATAAATTTTCTTAGGCTCAATACAACGAAAACAATTGCGCAAAAATGAGAAAAAAAAAGGCATGCAAAATAATTTAAAAAAAAAGTATAGTATGAAATTGAGTAAAACAAGAAAGTATTTTTTCAAATAAACGTGTTAAAATGTTTTGTCAGTTAAACTCATCCTGCAACTAAAAACAGAGGCTATTATATAAAACAAAAGCAAAAAAAAAAATCCCTATTTAGAATTGAAAAAAAAATATAGGCCGCTCACTTAATGAAAAGACAGAATCAGAAAAAAAATAAAATAACCTTACAAAAGATAAAACAGAGAGATAAAAGAGATCAAACAGAGAATATGTATTTTTGAAAAATGAAAACCTGCTTAAAATAATAAAAAGCAAAAGAATAAAACCGTCAAAACCTACGTTTAGAAAACGTAAGACTCACGAGTATTGATACAATATTGTACTTAAATATTGTAAAACGTAGATATTGTAAAACGATGTTATAGATAAAATCTAAAAGGTTATTAGAATAATTAACTTAGCAGTTCAAAACAAGTCATTATCGCAAAAAGACCACTCACTAATGCAGAGAATGTGATAATCAAACAGCTAAAATAAAATAATACTCATAAATGCAGAGAAATGGTATTTTAAATTGAGATTTAACATAAATTTTTTTGATATGAGAGAATTTTAATAAATGAGCAATACCACAAATAACTATTGTTGCTAACTTGACAAATCAATGTGAATTCTATTAGATAAAGGAGCCCACATATTATTGTTAGGTAAAAGGATGGCATAAAACTTAAAAATTAATAAAATTCAACCCCCTGAAATATACGGCATAGTAGAGATTGGAGAGAGAATAGTACCTACTATAGGAAAAGTAGAGATTAAATTTAAAACCGCTGCTTCCGAGAAGAAAAAAGCACAAAACTCCCGCTTTATCTGATTTCAAAAAAAAACACAATTAATTAATAATGCAGGACAAAAAGAAATCTTACTATGGAAGAGCGAGAAAAATTAGAAATAGAACATGAAAAAAGGCGAGTGTAGTAAAAAAAAATGAAAATGACAATTTTTACATTATAAATTGCTCCGACAATTTAAACAAACATTGAAATTCCGGCTATTGACGACCTTACCAAGTATCGGAAAAATATCAAGCAGAATTAAATAAACATTTGAAAATGTTAAAAATAGGAGTAATTAAAAAAAATATGAGATAAGAGAAGCAAATAAAATAGAACTAAAAGAATATATGTAGGTCTTCACCCATCCCTAAAAAAATAGGAGATTCACCGGCAAATCGAATGTTTAAAAGGGAAATGAATACCTAAATTGATAAGCTGAAACACCGGCAGGGAAAAAAATCAAATACCGTCAGAAAATAAACATTAGTCTCGCCGAGAAAAACACTAATTTGTTTTAAAATAATGAAATGCCCGAAGAAATTGTTAGTAAAATAATTCACCGGGACTTGATAAAAGCCGTCAATTTTCAACAAGTCACACGCAAAAGTCGCACATGGAGTAATATTTTTTAGAAAATTTGTTGAGAAAACCAAAAGTAAGATTTAATAAAATAACATGTAGTACATAATCCCAAAACCGAGAAAAAAGTAGAGAAAAATCCCCTGTCTTAAATTGGGAGAATCGACCGAAACATCAGAAGAAGATAACTTCCTACAACGATAAAAACATAGGCCTCTGCAGCAAAATCAACTCAGGAAGGATGAAGAAATGTTCAAAAAATCAACTAAATGGAAACAAAAAGTCTGCTCTGCAACTTGAAAACAAAAAAGGAACTCAACTAAAATCGCTGCTCTTCTACAAAGTGTTTGACTGGATTGTAATAAAACCCCTTTTAACATTTATTGCTAACTATCCAAATTTCACCTCACTTTGTTTTCCGTCTATTTACCAAAAATTTTTCTGTACTCATGTAAAACAACCCATAACCCTTTCTTTTTCAACGTAATATCCCTATAATTAATTTTTCGGAGAATTTGGCAAAAAAAAAAGCTGAAAAAAAAAAGAAACATTAAAGAAGAAAACTAAAGAATAATTCAAAGCGAATAATAGCTTTTACAATAATTAATAAAAGTATACTAGTAATTTGAAAGCCGTCGCCAAGACGAGAGACAATCAAAATAAAAATTAAAATTTTAAAGATAAAGCTTGGTCGGAGTAAAATTGTAAGGAAGTATTAAAAAAAAAACCGTCGTTCGGAATTGTACGATGAGGAAATTAAATTCTTAAATCTTGTAGAATATTAAAAAAAATATATATTACATTAATAAAATAGCCTAAATTACCCTCATTTTAAAAAAAAAAATTAAACTACAATTTTGAACGTGGACGTTCAAATAAAGGGGGAAGGAATGCTGCATCCCTCCTAATCAAATAAACAAACTAAAAATAAATGATGTATTCACGTGCATTCACAGGCACAAATATTTTGACCTTTTCCTATATTAAAAGGAATCCCGACCGTTATCAGAGTTTATCACAATTCCCGACCCTTATATTATTATTTGTTATTCACTTGTTTACCCCAATCTTGACCTGTTAATGTCCCCTATAAATACTCATCCAAAATGGTCATTCATCTTATCTTAATATCTAATTAGAAGTGTTTATGTGAGTTCTGGCCAGACTCTTGTAATTGTCCCCTTTCCCTCTTTTCGCTATGTATATATTTTTATTTGTAAATAGTTAAATGTAAATAAATAATTTAAAGAATATAATTTGAATAATCCTCGAAAGGCTTCGGAACCCAATCCCAACAAGAGGGTCTTAAAAATTGAATTGATTTTTGACATTCAAATGTATAGAGAGGGTCGTCTTTTTTATAGAGAGTGTCTTCGAAGTATAGAGAGGGTCTTAAAAATTGAATCGATTTTTTTGACATTCAAATGTATAGAGATGGTCGTCTTTTTTATAGAGAGTGTCTTCGAAGTATAGAGAGGGTCTTAAAAATTGAATTGATTTTTGACATTCAAATGTATAGAGAGGGTCGTCTTTTTGTATAGAGAGGGTCTTCGAGTATAGAGAAAGTCTTAAAAATTGAATTGATTTTTTTGACATTCAAATGTATAGAGAGGGTCGTCTTTTTGTATAGAGAGGGTCTTCGAAGTATAGAGAGGGTCTTAAAAATTGAATTGATTTTTTTGACAAGTAATAAAAAAAAAGAAAAGGGTCCACACTAATTTAAATAAATATTCAAAAGAATTAAATATATTTATTTTTCCTTTTAACAAACAAAATATATGAATGAACGTAAACTGAACCTATTTTGGGGAGAGGGGAAGGATTTATATAGGGAAAGGTCAACAAAGAGAGAAAAAGGGTGAGGGACATAAATTAAATCGGAACGCCAAAAATAAATAAAAATAAACAAATTTAAATGAATTAAATTAAAGTGTATCACATCCCATCCCTTTAAAATTGAGGCGTCCCTTGCCGATTTCTTCGAAAGGTTTTGGGTGGTTGAAAGTTAAGTCAATATTTCGAAAAAGTATATTCAGTCGGTAGTTCTGTTCAAAGTATGTGGAACCAGGTCACCGAGACCGGTTTTAAATTTTCTATTTTTGATGGGTATTCTAGAATTTTCGATGAACAACATTGCCATTTGGGACGTCTGGATAACTTGCTTTGTCACCGAGACAAATTGCAAGTTTTTCTTTGGTTTCATGTCAAGCCTTTTTCGGTCTTTATCTTTCAGAAAATTCCTGAATTTCAAAGAGGCTCTGATCAGCGTGATCATGTCTTTCAAGCTAAGACGGCTCCGAACTCCATGGAAAAATCGTCCCTTGATTTTTCTTTTCTTCCATCCAAATTTTTCTTGTTTCTTTCCCTTCTTCATCTTAGCATTAATTTTTTCCAAAACAGAAATTTTGAGAAGCTTCATCTTAGAGTTAATCCTTTTCAGCATGGAATATTTCTTAGAAAAAGAATATTCCTCAAATTGTTTCAACACATTTGATTTAAAAATTTTCTCAAAATTCTCAGTTTTCATAGTTCTCTTCAAAGTTTTCTTAGCTTTCACACAAAAACTTTTTCTTGATTTGGAGAATTTCAAAATCTTATCAGAAGAAAACTTTAATTTTCCACATTCACTAAAATTTTCTCTTCTAATACATTCTTTTAGTGGCACAGATTTCTTACCAAAATTCTCAAAATCTTCACTTTCAATTTGCAAAACATCTTTTTGATTGCAGAGATCAAGAACAATTTTCATACGACCTAAGTCACTTGCTTTCTCTTTCTTTTTTTCCTTAAAATTTTCCTCAATACTAGGTCTCGAATCTTTTTCAAAATTGTCAAAATTTTTCCTCTTAATGTCGAAAGAATTTTGTTGATTGTGGAACTCAGAATCAATTTTCATGCGACCTAGTTCGTTGGCCTTTTCCTTCTTTAATTTCTCAAAATCTTTCTCGACAGGTTCCTTTTCTTCAGGCCATTGAACTATGTTTCCAACGCCAATGTCCTCAATAATTTCCGACTCACCCTGTTCTTTTTCAAAAAAATCACCTTCTTCTTCAAATTTATTCTTTTCCTCTTCTTCAAATAAATTCATCGGAAGATCGAAGTCAGCTTCCTTTTCAAAAATCAATTCCGAATTCTCTTTCTTAGATTCCTTCTTGATGACCTTTTTAAGTAAATTCGTTGGGACAGAATTTTTCAATTCGTCAACCAATTTAAAGTCTTTATCATCCTCAAATAGATTCATAGGGAGCTCAAAATCATTCTCCCTTTCAAGATCCAATTCAAAACTCTTTTTAGCAATTTCAACCTTAATTGTCTTTTTGATGTTAAAATCTGTTGAGACAGAAGTTTTCACTTCCTTAACCAAATTAGATGCTTTTTCAACTTTTGACGGTTCCATTTCTTTTGGACTTTCAAAAAATTCCAAAACTTCAGAAGGGTATGAAACCTTTTCAAACGGAATATTTCTTTTGTTAAGTGATGTTGGCTGAATCTTTTGACAATTAGATTTTGGTGGAAGTTTTTCAGTTTTCACAGCCTTTTCCAAGAGATTTGAGTCGCTTCTCTTTTTAAATGGGTCGATTAGCTCATCAACTTTGTACTCAGCGGGAAGGAGTTTGCAAAGGATGAAATTCTTAATCGCTTGATAATTGTAGAGTTTCGACTTAATTGCCAGAATGAAGCAATTTTTTGCCTTACCATTCAACTTGGATTTTAGGGCAAAAATTTTCTTCTTCTCCGACCATTCTTCTAAAGCAAGGTCGAATTTCTTGAAGAATTTTCTTATCCCAAAATCTCCTTCGGTTCCGTCTAAATTGGGAATCGTTTCCAACAGTAGATTTTCAATGTCAGCTTGTGACATGTTTCCGGGATCGAAAGTGACGTTTTGATCGAATGGCTGAATTTGTTGTGGTGGCACAAAAGAGTAGGGAGTGTACATCATTTGTTGAGGGAAAGAGTGAAAAGGATGACCAAACATGTAAAATTGATTTAAAAATTGCCCACATTGTGCATTATTGATTGGGTGTCCATTCATTTTGTGAGAAAAATTTGATGACCTTCACAGAGAAGGTTTTAGAGAAAATTGAAGATTACCCACAGAGGATAATTTTTCAAAACACAAGCCAAAAACAAAGTTGACCTCCACCGAGAAGGTTTTTTAAAAAAAATGTCGATTACCCACCGAGGATAACTTTCCAAAACCAAAGCAAAAAAACACCAGTTGACCTTCACCGAGAAGGTTTTAAAAATTTGTAGATTATCCACCGGGGATAATTTTCCAAAGTTTAAGTCGAAAACTAGATTTTGACCCACAGAGAATCAAAATATAGCTTTCCAAAATAATCACCACGACGCCAGGCCAATTGACTTACTTTCAAATACCAGGAGCGCCAAGTAATAAAAAAAAGAAAAGGGTCCACACTAATTTAAATAAATATTCAAAAGAATTAAATATATTTATTTTTCCTTTTAACAAACAAAATATATGAATGAACGTAAACTGAACCTATTTTGGGGAGAGGGGAAGGATTTATATAGGGAAAGGTCAACAAAGAGAGAAAAAGGGTGAGGGACATAAATTAAATCGGAACGCCAAAAATAAATAAAAATAAACAAATTTAAATGAATTAAATTAAAGTGTATCACAGACATTCAAATGTATAGAGAGGGTCGTCTTTTTTATAGAGAGTGTCTTCGAGTATAGAGAGAAATTGAATTGATTTTTTTGACATTCAAATGTATAGAGAGGGTCGTCTTTTTTATAGAGAGTGTCTTCGAAGTATAGAGAGGGTCTTAAAAATTGAATTGATTTATTGATATTCAAATGTATAGAGAGGGTCGTCTTTTTTATAGAGAGTGTCTTCGAGTATAGAGAGAAATTGAATTGATTTTTTTGACATTCAAATGTATAGAGAGGGTCGTCTTTTTTATAGAGAGTGTCTTCGAGTATAGAGAGGGTCTTAAAAATTGAATTTATTTTTTGACATTCAAATGTATAGAGAGGGTCGTCTTTTTTATAGAGAGTGTCTTCGAAGTATAGAGAGGGTCTTAAAAATTGAATTTATTTTTTGACATTCAAATGTATAGAGAGGGTCGTCTTTTTTATAGAGAGTGTCTTCGAAGTATAGAGAGGGTCTTAAAAATTGAATTTATTTTTTGACATTCAAATGTATAGAGAGGGTCGTCTTTTTTATAGAGTGTCTTCGAAGTATAGAGAGGGTCTTAAAAATTGAATTTATTTTTTGACATTCAAATGTATAGAGAGGGTCGTCTTTTTTATAGAGAGTGTCTTCGAAGTATAGAGAGGGTCTTAAAAATTGAATTTATTTTTTGACATTCAAATGTATAGAGAGGGTCGTCTTTTTTATAGAGAGTGTCTTCGAAGTATAGAGAGGGTCTTAAAAATTGAATTTATTTTTTGACATTCAAATGTATAGAGAGGGTCGTCTTTTTTATAGAGAGTGTCTTCGAAGTATAGAGAGGGTCTTAAAAATTGAATCGATTTTTTTGACATTCAAATGTATAGAGATGGTCGTCTTTTTTATAGAGAGTGTCTTCGAAGTATAGAGAGGGTCTTAAAAATTGAATTGATTTTTGACATTCAAATGTATAGAGAGGGTCGTCTTTTTGTATAGAGAGGGTCTTCGAGTATAGAGAAAGTCTTAAAAATTGAATTGATTTTTTTGACATTCAAATGTATAGAGAGGGTCGTCTTTTTGTATAGAGAGGGTCTTCGAAGTATAGAGAGGGTCTTAAAAATTGAATTGATTTTTTTGACATTCAAATGTATAGAGAGGGTCGTCTTTTTGTATAGAGATGGTCTTCGAAGTATAGAGAGGGTCTTAAAAATTGAATTGATTTTTTTGACATTCAAATGTATAGAGAGGGTCTTCTTTTTGTATAGAGAGGGTCTTAGAAGTATAGAGAGGGTCTTCGAAGTATAGAGAGGGTCTTAAACATTGAATTGATTTTTTTGACATTCAAATGTATAGAGAGGGTCGTCTTTTTTATAGAGAGTGTCTTCGAAGTATAGAGAGGGTCTTAAAAATTGAATCGATTTTTTTGACATTCAAATGTATAGAGATGGTCGTCTTTTTTATAGAGAGTGTCTTCGAAGTATAGAGAGGGTCTTAAAAATTGAATTGATTTTTGACATTCAAATGTATAGAGAGGGTCGTCTTTTTGTATAGAGAGGGTCTTCGAGTATAGAGAAAGTCTTAAAAATTGAATTGATTTTTTTGACATTCAAATGTATAGAGAGGGTCGTCTTTTTGTATAGAGAGGGTCTTCGAAGTATAGAGAGGGTCTTAAAAATTGAATTGATTTTTGACATTCAAATGTATAGAGAGGGTCGTCTTTTTTATAGAGAGTGTCTTCGAAGTATAGAGAGGGTCTTAAAAATTGAATCGATTTTTTTGACATTCAAATGTATAGAGATGGTCGTCTTTTTTATAGAGAGTGTCTTCGAAGTATAGAGAGGGTCTTAAAAATTGAATTGATTTTTGACATTCAAATGTATAGAGAGGGTCGTCTTTTTGTATAGAGAGGGTCTTCGAGTATAGAGAAAGTCTTAAAAATTGAATTGATTTTTTTGACATTCAAATGTATAGAGAGGGTCGTCTTTTTGTATAGAGAGGGTCTTAGAGTATAGAGAAAGTCTTAAAAATTGAATTGATTTTTTTGACATTCAAATGTATAGAGAGGGTCGTCTTTTTGTATAGAGAGGGTCTTCGAAGTATAGAGAGGGTTTTAAAAATTGAATTGATTTTTTTGACATTCAAATGTATAGAGAGGGTCGTCTTTTTTATAGAGAGTGTCTTCGAGTATAGAGAGAAATTGAATTGATTTTTTTGACATTCAAATGTATAGAGAGGGTCGTCTTTTTTATAGAGAGTGTCTTCGAAGTATAGAGAGGGTCTTAAAAATTGAATTGATTTATTGATATTCAAATGTATAGAGAGGGTCGTCTTTTTTATAGAGAGTGTCTTCGAGTATAGAGAGAAATTGAATTGATTTTTTTGACATTCAAATGTATAGAGAGGGTCGTCTTTTTTATAGAGAGTGTCTTCGAGTATAGAGAGGGTCTTAAAAATTGAATTTATTTTTTGACATTCAAATGTATAGAGAGGGTCGTCTTTTTTATAGAGAGTGTCTTCGAGTATAGAGAGAAATTGAATTGATTTTTTTGACATTCAAATGTATAGAGAGGGTCGTCTTTTTTATAGAGAGTGTCTTCGAGTATAGAGAGGGTCTTAAAAATTGAATTTATTTTTTGACATTCAAATGTATAGAGAGGGTCGTCTTTTTTATAGAGAGTGTCTTCGAGTATAGAGAGAAATTGAATTGATTTTTTTGACATTCAAATGTATAGAGAGGGTCGTCTTTTTTATAGAGAGTGTCTTCGAGTATAGAGAGGGTCTTAAAAATTGAATTTATTTTTTGACATTCAAATGTATAGAGAGGGTCGTCTTTTTTATAGAGAGTGTCTTCGAAGTATAGAGAGGGTCTTAAAAATTGAATTTATTTTTTGACATTCAAATGTATAGAGAGGGTCGTCTTTTTTATAGAGAGTGTCTTCGAAGTATAGAGAGGGTCTTAAAAATTGAATTTATTTTTTGACATTCAAATGTATAGAGAGGGTCGTCTTTTTTATAGAGTGTCTTCGAAGTATAGAGAGGGTCTTAAAAATTGAATTTATTTTTTGACATTCAAATGTATAGAGAGGGTCGTCTTTTTTATAGAGAGTGTCTTCGAAGTATAGAGAGGGTCTTAAAAATTGAATTTATTTTTTGACATTCAAATGTATAGAGAGGGTCGTCTTTTTTATATAGATGTCTTCGAAGTATAGAGAGGGTCTTAAAAATTGAATTTATTTTTTGACATTCAAATGTATAGAGAGGGTCGTCTTTTTTATAGAGAGTGTCTTCGAAGTATAGAGAGGGTCTTAAAAATTGAATCGATTTTTTTGACATTCAAATGTATAGAGATGGTCGTCTTTTTTATAGAGAGTGTCTTCGAAGTATAGAGAGGGTCTTAAAAATTGAATTGATTTTTGACATTCAAATGTATAGAGAGGGTCGTCTTTTTGTATAGAGAGGGTCTTCGAGTATAGAGAAAGTCTTAAAAATTGAATTGATTTTTTTGACATTCAAATGTATAGAGAGGGTCGTCTTTTTGTATAGAGAGGGTCTTCGAAGTATAGAGAGGGTCTTAAAAATTGAATTGATTTTTTTGACATTCAAATGTATAGAGAGGGTCGTCTTTTTGTATAGAGATGGTCTTCGAAGTATAGAGAGGGTCTTAAAAATTGAATTGATTTTTTTGACATTCAAATGTATAGAGAGGGTCTTCTTTTTGTATAGAGAGGGTCTTAGAAGTATAGAGAGGGTCTTCGAAGTA